ATTTATTTATTTTTTTCCAGAAAATAAAAGATATAGAATCAAAAGAGAAAACATGTGTTCAGTTGAGGGTGAGGGCATATAGGTTGCTGCATATTGATAGAATTAAATAAAAATATTTTCATCATCCTTTGATTTCAAGTGGTATAAATAAAATAAATAAAACAGTTCAAATGATATATAAATAAAAAAATGTTCCATATTAAAAATAGTTGCTCTTATTACACAAATATTTTTCCATATCACGTGCATTGTATATAACATTGTTGATTACAGCTTAGAATTCAATTTTTTTTTCAGAAAAAAGAGGAAGAAAAGACTGATAAACTCAAATCTATAGAAGAGTCTAAAGACAAAGAAATATCACAGCTGAAGAGTGACATGAAACAGTTAAAAAAGAAAATTGTACAACTAACAAAGTGAGTTTATATTATATAAAGCAAATCTTACTTGTAACATGCTGAAAGAGCTGGTCTGAAGAGGTGTCATCTTTGATGACTGACGATTAACACAATTTATAGATTACTTGTTTTAAGATAGGACCTGTTAGGATTTTATAAATCAATGGTTCAAAGAGTAGTACAATTATTATAATACAAAGTCTTATATGCAGCTTAGAATGATTGGACTAGAGAACATTTAAAGTGTTGTAAATTTATATTGTATCATCACAAAGATGTTAATACACTTTATGGTTAAAGCCTGCAGCTTTTGATGATCACTGCTTTAATTTTTCTTTGTTAACCTAGGGAGAAAGATACTCTGTGGCAGCAGACAGATCGTCTAACGTATGAACAGAAAATGCACTCAACCGCGAAATGGATGGATGAGAAAACGGTCACTAAATGCCTGGGCTGTAAACAAGAGTTCACGTTCATGGTTAGAAAGGTGCATGTTCTGTTATTTTACAATTTTATTTGAGCTGATTTTTCAATGAGCTTTTTTAATGTCAAAACCATTTAAGTAAGCTTTTTTTTTCTTCGTTTTTTTTTTGTTTTTTTTTGAAAAATTATAGTTTTTATTTTCAGTTGAAATTACAAAGATTTTTATTGATTAAGAAAATACCTTTAGAATGAAGGTTCTTAAAAAGTTTCTGAGGATTGTTGAATTTTATTCCATTTTCATAAACCTTTGCTTGAAACGTGTACTTTTGGTTTTGTCAGAGATTTGTCTCTTGTTTGTGCACTTTTAGTGGTTTGAAATGACTCCCAGTATATTGCTTTTATGTGGAGAAATTTTGTTATCTGCCTTTGTATTATGCAAAAAATAAGATTTTCATTGCATTTTTTACTATATACATTTAAATTCATATATTTTCATATTCATGCATGTTCCTATACTATATGAAATTCAGTAAAGTCATTTTATTCATAAAAAAAATTGAGACATCAACACCTTTTATTCTTCAACCTTAAATTAAATTGTTCTTTTTTCTTTCAGCACCACTGTAGATTGTGTGGGGGAGTCTTTTGTCACAGCTGTAGTAACAATTATGTGGACTCCACCCATAGCAGGTTAGTGTACATGTGTATATATTACCCGGTACTTACATGTACATATGTATAAACACAATCAGTGCACAACGTTTCTGCAATTTGACGTTACACTTCTGCAAAATTAGATTTCTATTCCTCAATCATTGGCACTTATGATATAATTTATATTTAACTTCATGTATTTAAGTAATAACGCTCTCAAGCAGGATTAGTGTAAGCGTTTTTGCTTGCTTCCCAATAATTCTAAATGCAAGTACATGTACAAATGTAGTATTTTTACTAATGTTCTTGCAATTATGAATTAATATATGGATTTTTCAAAAACATAAATAAAAATACTACTTCATTTAGAATTGAGATTGGAAAGCTATTAAAGTAGAAGGCTCACATTAATCCTGCAGCTCAAGTGAGAGTTATTTAGAAGACAATAAAATAAGATACAACTTGCAAAAAATATTTTTTATTTTAATATGACACATAGTCACAAGTAAACTGCATAAGTGTAATACTTGACTGATTTAGAAACTTGAGAAGTATACCAAATTTGACCCATTATAAACTTACAAGAATTTTTTTGAATAAGCTGACATGCTATATATGTATGATTTTGTTTTGCTGACATATTCTTCCTTTCTGTACATGCACTAGATAAATTTTCTTGTTGTCCAGAGTCTGTTAAAGAAATAGCTGTTTTCAAATCACATATAACATTTAGAGATCCAGGGTTATGTAGATGCACAAAATTTTCAAGTATTGATATTATATATACATGTAAGTAAATGGTTTAGAATGTACAAAGTGGATTGTATTTATATGTATAAAATTCAATTCTTTTATGAATTTTTATTTTTTAATTTATTTTTTATTAGCTTAAAGCATGATAATAGGTAAAAAATCATACGATACTTTTTTTTTCGCAATGCTTTACAAATGGTTTCCTTTATTGGTTCTTCATTTCTACATTTGCCTATATTTGATGTGTCATCTGCAGCACATTGAAGAGATACCACATTTCACAAGCATACATTTTCTGCTTCACTAAATTGTAATACATGTTTTATTTTCAAATGATAGCATGTATGTACATTTAATATAAAATTTTATGACCATGTCTATATAGTGCATGAAATTTAAAGTGACACTTGCAATAGACTCAATTTTTCAAAATTGTCAAATGATTAAGAATTTTAACCAGTTAATTCAAAGGCAAATGAATTTTTGCTGTATATAAAATGATATTCACAAATGTTTTTAGCTTATTAATGAAACAGAATGCTTATTTTAATTTAACCAACATCAGATACACCGTATAAAGAAAGCAGGATATGGTTTTGGAACTGCAGTAAATATCAGTGAGATTGCTGTAAACTTTCCTAGGATATTCGTAAAAACTTATATTTTCTTTCAGTAAGAAGTCGCGAGCCTGTAATATGTGTTACCAGAAATACACCAAGTCTGATGCTCTGAGTTCCTCGATGATCAGTCGTCTACAGGACGATGAAGGACTGGAGGACTCGAGTGAGGAGGAACAGACCTCAGCTAAACTCATCAGGAGTCATCACACTGGTACTCACTTCATAAGGTTACTTAGGCTAAGAATGTGTTCAGAAATATTCAGAGCCAGTTTGAAGATAGAGACCTCAATCTGATTTAGTTAAAAGTCCTTGAAACGTTCTACTTTCCCACTTGAACGGTGAACGAACGTTGAACAAACGTGTATTATCATTGCTCTTGAAAGACATAATGTTTAAATATAAACTTGTATTAATAATAATTAATTTGTGTTTGTAATATATTTCAAAATTTTGGCATTTTACATTTATTTTAAGTATCATGTATGTTTTAAATTAGTCGAAACATAATCACCCTATAGTCATCTTCATTGTTTAATTGTATAGATACAGAAATTCCTGAACCTGACACAGATAGCACAAACCAGACTGAAGCAATAACAGATACAACACTACCCCAGCCAGTCCTATCTGTTCCTCCCCAGAGTACCTCCACTCCAATCAAAGGCTCTGATGTTCAGCCAGCTGCTGCAGTCATCCCAGAGAGTGATCCAGGGGACACCAGGGTGGGGCCAGACGAGGTCATGATACCAGGTCAAGTGGCTGCCAATATATCAATCTCGGTTGTCGGACAAAACGAAACGGACGAGATCAAGAGGGTCAAAAAGGGAAGCGTGGGGTAAGAATTCATTAACGTGTCTCTATGTAAATGTTACTTGTACTTTGTAAGTGACACTGGTATCTTGCCATGACAGTTGCTAGTGCAAGTTCTGCTTAATGCTTAAATGTGGAATGGTCCTTGAATGACTAGATGCTTAATGTACATGCATCTTCAACTTATTGCCTGCATGCTACTGATTTCAATATCATGTAAAATTAGTGACTTATTTTACTTTTTTCATATATTTTGTCATGACTGCTGAAGCATATCACACATGGAACATATAGAAACCTGTATATTTCTTTACTGAATTTTAAGGGATGGAAATGAAGTTCTCTCTAAGGATGAGATTTTCCACCTAGTGAGTGATGAGGAAGTGGCCCGATCTCAGAGTTTCTCCTCCTCGGAATTCCAGTACCAGGACCCAGACCCCAAGTACTCTATTACTCAGTATAGAAACTTCATTTAATAGACAATATAAATGTCTTTTATTGTACTCGTTATATAAATATGGATCAATTGTTTTGATTCACTGCTTAATTAGATATTTGCTTTTTCCTGCATGACAATCTTCTAATACACATAGAATTAAACAGTATAAGCACCTTTAGTTTGCTTGCAGTATAGTTTGCTGATTGTCCCAAAAAATCTGCTCACAATTTATTTTACATGTATCAAAAAATAACTTGTAAACTTGTATCAATTACACTAAATAAAATTAATAACACTGATACCATACTTACCTGACCTTAAACTGTTTTGATACTAAGTCTTATTCCATCAATAAGAAATTCATTTCTTTTTTTTTAAATTAGGAGCATTTTTGCAATTCTATAATTTCTAAATAACAAAAAAATATATTCTTCAATTTTTATAGTGTCACAACTGGCATAACCATAAAGGCAGAAGAGCTGGAGAAAGGGGAAGTGAACAACTCCAGTGAATTCTGGGTAAAGGCTGGAAAAAGTCACGCCATACCTGTAGTGATTGACAAGCAGAATACTGTTCTGTGCTGGGAATTTAGATCCCATCCCAAGGTTTGAACAAACAAATTAAATGCAGAATGTCTTTCAGAAAGAAGCAACAATGCAGAAATTGATAATATATTGAAATGAGAAATGAGTTTAATATAATGAATTCTTTATCCAAGTACATGCAACTCAATTTGCTTTCAACTTGATTTTTTTCTTTTAAAAAACTAAGTTTACATTTGTTAAACTTCTTTGTAATAATTTTCTCTTATTAGAATAATGGTAAAAAGATTATTTTAACCCAGTCCCTGTCTTCAAAAATTAAATAATGAGACCTAATGAAATGGATGAGACTTTGTATGTTTCTTATCCACGTATGTGAAAACTGAAGATACTTTCTGATGCCATACTTGCCAATGAAATTTTGAATCAATAGACTTGAATTTTAATGATGTTTTTAAAAAAATTTCATTATAAATTTTATTAAATGCTTGGTTCATAACAAAATTATAATTCACAAATTATTTATATTGCCATACATTTAAATGTACATGTATGTATGTGTTACTTTATTTGACTGCTTTGATTACAGGATGTGATATTTAGTGTAACCTACATGGAGTTTGAGAGAGAGACCGGACCCTGCCATCACTCACTGCCTGGTACCAGCTTGTAAGTGTGACTCACACAAACAGGCCGTCCGTGGAGAACTGACAGCCAAACAGACGGGGATCTACACACTACTCTTTGATAATACCTATTCCAGGTAAGTTAGTGTATCAGGAGAAAGTAATGGATTAATTAGGGCCCCGCAAGGATTTGCGGGTGCCCTATAGTAATCACTCTGTCTGTCCGTCTGTCTAGCTGTCTAGCTGTCCGTCTGTCATTCTTCCGTCCACAAATTTTCTGTTTTTTTCTAATAACTTTTTTACTGGTTGCCCAATCAAGTTAAAATTTGGTATCATGGTAATTCAGTAGGCAGAAATACATATTTGGATGCAAAGTTTGGTTCTCTATGTCTTCTGGTTTGGAGCTGGGGTGGTGGGATAGATTCCTTAACTATGCATAAGAATGAATGGGCAACTTTTTTAATGGTTTCCCAAACAAGTACAAATTTGGTAAGATAGTTCAGTAGGCAGAAATACATATTTTGATGCTAAGTTTGGTTCTCTATGTCCCCTGGTTTGGAGCTGGGGTGGTGGGGTAAATTCGTTAACTTAATATAAGAATGCATTGGCAAAGAGAGATTACTGCTGAAGATGTTCCCATTGTAAACTGAATGCTGCTATGAGTCCCTTGGGATTAATTAGCTTTCCTCCTGAAGAAAATCCAGAGAATTATCTTTATCTGTCACATTGAAATGAATTACTACCTCTGTCTGCAAATCAAGTTTGTTTTGAAGTTAAGTCAATTTGGAATGCTATGAACACTCTGAAATGTGGATTTAAATATAAATTTTTATATTTTATTTTTGTTTTATAGTTATGATTTCATTGAATTCTAAAAACAAGAAATAGATTAAAGAAGATTTTTTGATTTACTTTTTTTTCACTTTATGTTAATTCAACAATATTATTAATTTTTAAGATAGTTGTATAAAAACCCCATTCTATCATTAATACTGAAAAAGTTCTTATTGTAACTTTAGAAGAAAATGATGAGAGAGAGGTACAGTTTATCCCTAGGGATTAATTATCTAGCCTGCTGCAGAAAATTTAGTAGGCTTTTCTTTATCTGTCACTTCAAGATTAATGAAAACCTTTGTCTGCAACTGCTGTTTGTTTGAAGTTAAGGTCAAGCCTTCATGATATTTGCATTCATTGAAGGCTGGCATTTTATATAACACAAGCTTTATAATTGTTTAAATATACATTCAATGTTAAGTTGTTCTTTACTGCCTAATATAAATACAAGGATATTATTTTCAGGTTTCTGAATATTCAGGAATTTTCTTGAAATTTTAAGAATACAGTTGCTGTTGCTTATTCTTCATACATTTTTTAATCATTCCGTAAGCTGCACCCTTTTAATTCTACCCCATGGCAGGGCCCTTGCTGACTGGTCAGTTTTCTGTTTATGAGACGAAAGAGAAATTGTACAGCTGATAATGGAGCTATGGCTTTATTTTCAGGATAACTGCCAAAAGAATATGTTACTCTTTGTGGACAAGGCATCTTGGAGATTGAAACTACCCTTTAGTTTTGTTTCAATTATTTACATTTACTTTAGTATTTATACACAGAGTTCTTGATGCAATAAAAACAAATTTTTATTACCGTAAATCTGGAAATTTTTGCTGTAGATTAATTTTTAGCAAATTTGCGAGTTCATTGCATTCGCAAAAATATTTTTCTTAAAAATAGATTACCAATAAGAAAATGTATACAAAGCAGCGGTCATTCGCAAAATTTTGAAACGTAAAAATTAATCAACAGCATTTTAACCCGAATTCGCAAAATAAAATCGACGTAAAAAATTCCAGATTTACGGTATTTTATTTATATAAATACCCTTTTGTGATAAATGTATTTGATTAAAAAGAACATTGTATTTAACAGTAATTTTAATTTAAGTGTTTTAGTTCTAATTTTCAAATACAAGAATGTATACTGTAAACCAACTTTTATTCGCGTGCGAGAAATTTTCGCGATGTTCGCGAGAGCTATGTCATCGCGAAAATTTCTCGCTGCGAACCGGTTCTTAAGGTCTATATGCCTATTAACAACAGGTCCAAAATAGCTTTGTTCGCGAAAATTAATCGTCGCGAACTAATTTATTCTTGGTAATTCGCGAAATAAAGTCGTCGCGAATAAAAGTTGGTTTACAGTACTTTATAATTTTTAATTAAAAGAAGATATTTATTTGTTTATAAATTTGTATTTTATATTTTTAGATTTTATGGGATTTAAATAAACTAAAAATTTAGACTTCATCTTTATAATTTTTTTTCAAAATAATAATATTGGTAGAATATTGATTTGGTCCTGAACTCTATAGTTATATTAATTTCTGTAGAGTGAAATCTGCAATCAAGTATATTTTGCTTTACCATTGTTGTACCCATTTTGAAAATGACCAAGTATAAATAGATACAATTTATGAATAGACGCGAAGCTTGCAATAATTGGCAACAAGTCCAAGCTGACACTGAAGCAAATTCATTATGAAGGCGTTTCTGTTAAAGGTAAAAGTTTTATTGCTAGCATCTGAACTGAGGTAGAATAAATTAACAGAAAATATGCGTGATGTTTGTAATTAACATATTGCCTTCTACATATTGTCATTTACAACATTTGAGAACCCTACGTCTTGGCAAAATATTGTATCCAGAGGAATTTTACATACAAGTGCAACTATTGTCAGCAGACAATAAATTGGAATGCTTTATTTTAAAACATTTGTCACCCTACTGTAGGAGGAAAGTAATATAATGGTTGAGGAATATGATGTTGATATCGAGAATTATTCAATTTTCATGCACTGATCACTGAGATGTAATGAGTTTTGTATGAACAATCGTCGTTTTTTAGCGCCAATAAACAGGTGCACTGGAGCAATAATAACGATACAAGTTTTCTTGAAGAGGGAGAAGGTAATAGATATGAATTTAGGTCGTCAGTGACAATATGATACGAGCAGTTGCACACACGTTTATTGTTTCAATGTTTTTCAGCGGTTGGGTAGAGAGATGACATGCAGAAAATATTACATTTTGCTCCTGCCATATGTGGACGGATTTTTTAAATTAAGGTTTCGTCAAAGGTCAACATGTCCAAAAATTTATTTTTACAATAGCCCCAAAACTATGTGAGGTATAAAGTTAAAACTTTTACAGTTTATAAATTTTTCATTGATTAACAGATAAAAAGTGTCACTTGATAAAAAAATACTCGGAAAAAATATTAATTGAGAAAAATTCTTCTTTAAAATGCACATATTTTCAAAAAATACACCTAATTAATTCAGCGCTATTAGTGAAAACCATTATTGCAGAAACAAAATATGTTTATCAATGAAGGGCAAGTTGGACTTGGATAGCCTCTGGAAAGTTGTTTTCCGTGTTTATTTTGACCAAATATGTTAAGGCTTGAAAGTGAAAGTACATTGCAAATGGCGGATTCTATAGGGGTCTTGTCTTTATATATGTCATATTTTCAATAACAGCCTTTCAGAAACCATTCACGTCCAACTTGCCCTTTAATGATAAACATGTATTATTTCTGTAATGATGGTTTTCACAAAAAAGACAGAATTAAGCAGGTGCATTTTTCTTTAAATATGCACATTTTCTGATACAATTTTTCTCAAAAAGTATCCTTTTAAAAATATTTGTTATCAAGTGATACTTTCTATCTATTAATCAATGATATATTTATAAACTGTAAACGTTTTGACTTTATACCACACATAGTTTTGGAGCTATTGTAAAAATAATTTTTTAGACATGTTGACCTTTGACGAAACCTTAACAATATTCATTTGCATTCCTACTTTGATTCGATATACCGGGGTATATCCATTTGAACTTGAAATAAAAGATACCACAGTCGGGCATAACTGATTTATAAATTAATATTTTATTAGAAAAAAGACGTAAATGGAAACTTAACAACAAAACTTTATGATAATAATGTTGTTGTTTAACTTTTCTATCGTCATTTTCCCTTATTTATTTAGCAAAATATTATGATCACCTGCACAAGAGTTTTTGTCTCGCAGTTGATTCGATGTGCATGGCAAAAACATGACCGTTCTCTGCATAAGAAACACTTTCTCAATCTATGCAAACTATTGAAAAATTAGTTGAAACTACAAGTATATTGAAAAATCTCGTTGAAATAAACATTTTACAAATGGTATGGTCGAAGCAATGACCTTTTAAGCAAAAACAATCTATGATTCAATCAAAGAAAGACGTGCATTTTGTCAGCCTTATTTTTTCACTGTGCATGTTATGAATTTTTCCATTTGCCCGATTAATGACAAGGCCAGGAACACGCGGACGGTGGGACAAGGATGCTTACTCCTCCACGACTCTTTATCTCACCTATAGCTTATATTTTAGAGGTTTGTGTTTATTTTTCTCTGCTCCCAATTTATATCATTATAGTTTGAGCGTGATTATATTTGTTATTTTCATTTTCCAGGAAACACAAAAAAAAACAAACGATTATGACCGACGTCTGATGCGTGAGCTGATTGCTTTGGCTGCTTTTATCCCCGTTGTCTTCTCACGTTGTTATATCTATTGAATTTTTCATGGAGTTACTCATTTGTAATAAAATAATTCACCTATAAATACATAAAAATTACTGTTTTGTTTGTTGGGTATACCAGGGACATCAACGACAGTTAGAATCGAGGGATAATTTAACAAACGTTTTTAAAAGTGAAAACAAAAGGGAAAAATGACTGAGTTTGATTAATTGTTCATTATAATTGTATTACATACTAGTATATGGAATCAATATTAACGATTCCCTTTTTATACTAGTACTTTCATATCATTAGGTCTTTCCACCTTTCTGTGGAAAGACCTCTTGAAATGCTTCTGTTTATTAGGTCTTTCCACCTTTCTGTGGAAAGACCTATTGATTTTCTTCTGTTTCTTATTATTAGGTCTTTCCACCTTTCTGTGGAAAGACCTATTGATTTTCTTCTGTTTATTAAGGTCTTTCGTCTCCAACGGAAGACCTTATTGTTTTCGTTCGGTTTCTTTTTCCCTATTATTATTATTTTTCTTACCGATTTTGTGCACGCGATTTCTCGGAAACGGCTCTCTGGATTTTCACCAAACTTTCAGTTCTGATAGATATTCATCTGAACCTTGTCGGAAATTTTCGTCGTTGATGACGTCACTTCCGGTCGTGAGATATGGACGATTTTCTGATTTTTAGAGGGTCAGCTTGTCCTGAGATCTCCTCCTAAACGACTGAAGATATCGACTTGAGATTTTCACTGAAGGTAGAGGAAGGATAGTAGATGTGACATTTTGCATATAGAGCTTTCCAGGTGAAAAGGCATCGACGCTCGCCTGGGCTCCAAAAATGGGCTCATACGCATCTCGCAAATATTGATACGTTTTCTTTTATATCTTTTTACTGGTTAATATTTTGTTAATACATATATAATAAAAAATGTGCAATATAGTAAGATCTTTCATTTGATATCAAGAAAATGGGGTTAGCCCTTCAAATTAGGGGCATAGAGGGGCCAAAAGTCTCTCGTCTTTAACTCTTTAATGATCAATATTTTGTGATACATTACTGAAGCAAAGATATTCAACTTAACGATTTGCAACAATATGTACTAATAATATGATCATATGTTACATAATAAAGGGTTACAAGGGGCTAGAATGCTAAATCTTTGACGCTTTATATCTCGAAAAGCGTGAATATTTTGATAAGCAATATTGAACAAAAGATGATCAAAATAATGTTCCCAACTTTATGCATACTTTTAATTTGTTCATTTTTTTTCCGTCGACATTTCCGTTGAAAACCGGAAGTACATGTAATTTAAATACATGTACGTGTATAGCGATTTTTTTTTATTTTCCAATGAATGTAATTGTTCATTATAGAGATTTAAAGAATTCCTAGCATCTTAATATTTCCACCGGAAGTACGGTTCGTTCAAACCGGATGTTGTCTTAAAATGAGTATTTCCATCGAAACTTTCAGGGATGATTACTGCATGCTTGATGTAGAGTTGAAAGTAGCTTTGAGCACATACAGTCGCACCGGAAGTGAAGAAGTAGAACCGGAAGTTGATTGGAATTGATAGATCCTACATTTTTTTATGTTTCTAATAAACATATTTTGGAGAATTCTTGTGCTTTTTTGACATTTTTTTATCCTATCAGTGGAACTATCCTAACACAGGTCTTATTCCATCAGATATCGGACGGAAGACCTACTCGTTGCTTGCAACGAGATCGCATCTAGTTATTATTATTATTATTATTATTCTTCTTCCGCTGATTTTTTGTTTCGACATTTATCGAAAAGACTTTTTGTTCATCGTAAAGGTCATTAAAAGTTATGAACAAATTTGACCCAACGCGTATGAACTATGTCCGCTTTCGAAGTTATTGCCCCTTTCGAAAGAAATGCTTGTTATCGCTACTCCTTTGAAACCGTAAACCGTAGAAATATGAAACCTTCACTAAAGTCTTCGACTCATTGAGAGGACTCTGGGATCTATTCATTGCGAAAGTATTCGGTGACTCCTTCAATGAGTTATTGCCCCTGAAACTTTTTCA